CCCATGGGATGGAAGATGAGATCACGAACCGTAAATCAAAAGCTCGAGGCGTTTTTGCTAACCTGCGCCACCTATGGCGCCGGCGCGACATCACTCTTGCCCTGAAGCGTAGAGTGTGCAATGCAGCGGTACGTTTGACCCTACTGTACGGTTGCGAAACCTGGTCGCTTAAGGCAGCGGACCTGAAGAGGCTAGTTACGTTCGACCACCGGTGCCTTCGTAATTTAGCTGACATCTGGTGGGAACACCGCGTGAGTAACGAGCGTGTTCGACGCCTTTTACGGCACAGGAAAAGGAACTGAACCGCTCAGCACCGTTATTTCACGCACCAGACTCCGATGGCTCGGCCATGTGTTACGCATGCCAGCCCACTGGCTTCCACGACGTGCGTTGTTTGCGCACCGGTGGTGTGGATGGAAGAAGAGGAGGGGTGGCCAAGCGATGACATGGTCCAAAGGAATGAAGGTCCTCACTTCTGAGCTGACCTCGGTTGGAGCGTCTCGGCTCCCTGGTTGGGTTCCGAAAGACGATGAACCCGTTTGGTTGGACACACTTGCTGATATGGCAAGGAGCCGACCTCAATGGCGTTCGTGCTGTGAGTTTCTTTGTCCCACCCCATCCCTCTTAGCCTCCCCCTCCAATTACGATCTCATTATTTAACCTTATATAGTTTTGCATGGTAATTTTTTTGATGCATAGTAGCCGGCTGGTAGCTTACCAGAACGACGCCCATCCGTTACCGGTAGCTCAGCCGGCTTGCCCCAGTTGAATTCTTTTTTTCTCTCTTTTTTTCTATATATTGCGGCACAGTAGCTGAGGTGTTTCCCACCTCTAGCTAACATGTATGATGCTGATGATGATGATTGGCAATTAAACTACTGAAACCCACTCTTTTGTAGACTGGCCGTGTTCGTCATCAGTCTTGCCTTTTTTTGGTGAGGTTGATGATCGCATTTCTTTAAGCGGAATGCCGGCCAGCGTCAAATGAACTGTGGTCAGCATCGATTCACTAATGATGTTGTACTCTGATTGTCTCTGTATTCAACCTAGCCATTCCACTAATGGCAGGTAACCGGTATACGAGAATACGCGGAATAGCTGTTCTGCTCATCTTGGCAAACTATTCTTTCTCGTCATTTGTAAAGGGAAAGTTTTGTATGAAACCCACAAGTCACATGTTATGATCTGCCTAGGTGCAAGTGATCACGCAAGTGAACTCGCATGCAAGTATTGATGGTTGCGTAGTAGCTAATCGTCGGCACAGAAGCTCCGTCGTACAACTGATCTCTTCTTTATCTGTTTCCTTTTGGTCTGCCGCACTAACGACCCTTGTCGGGCCCTAAGATAACAAAGGCTTTACTAGCGCGCACACTGGTTACCCTGGGAGCTGGCCTGCTTCATTTTGGGAATCAGGATCCATGACCCACGTGGTTGTCAAACTAACTTCACTTTCATTGTCCTCTGGCTGTTGATTGCACGCATCCTTAACTACTGATGCAGCACCCACGGATGCGGCTAGAGCGGGCACCACTCAACTTGTGTGATGAATCCTAGTTGGTTCGGATTCCACTGTGCATCTTTTTACGTGCGGTCCTTTGATAACGCCAACCAAAGGAAGCGCATGACGCAGTGATGCAAGCACTATATTGGTGATCACCACATGTGTCCCAGCTGATTGCAATACTACAACTTCCAACGTACATTTTACCACTAGCTTAGTGCACTTTTTAGTGCGTGGTTAGTTGATGTATAATTCTACCCGATCAAGGTACAGTTGCTTAGACATTTGACTTGTAGTCCACGTGTCAGGTTAGAGAGGTGGTCAGGATATATAGGTGGTCAACTTCCGAGATTTTTAACTCATAAGTTATGCTCATTCAGACATCAAGAGAACAATTGCGAAGAAATTTCTTTTCGGTAAATCTTGTCAGGCACGCACAATTATAAGGCATGTAAACAAAACTTATAACAACTGTTGCTAGCTATTCACAAGTAAAAAGAAGTCAGATGGCAGGTGGAACAATAAAATTGGGGTCTTATTATGTGCACCAATCAATATCAGGTTCAAGCAAGTCACGATGGACCGTTAGCCTTGATATAGGCTAGCTGCGGGAGGCCCAGGACAGAATTAGCACTTGCACGTGAGCTCTCTGCTTGCATAATTCCGGTTGTAAACCTCTGGTAACAAAAGCTTTAGCTATAGTCAGGAAGCGTCTTTTGAGTCCCTTTGAGTATCCCTTCGGGGCAACTAGGAGAACCTTGCATAAGTCCTTAACCCGACATTGATGCTCAGTGTTTTACCGTATACACTTATCAATCAACATTATTCGTTCACAACTACCATGATCTCTTTTTGACATTATTCTTCAGACAGTTACACTTACATGAGCGACTGACGCATTAGCACGCTAGTCAAAACAGTTCTGACATCCGTTGATTTTCAGCTTTCCATTTGACATAATGTGCAACTCTATACTTTGTACTCATGCAAAATTAAGCACTTTTCCTCCCACATTTGCCTTGTCTTGATTCAACCTTTCCGTGCCTGTCATGCTTAATTGCCAAGACGGTTTGATTGGATGACAACTGCATACGCATATGATTTTTTTTGTTACTCTATTGTTTGTCGATGTCGTTTTGTTATTGACGCAATGATAATGCACATAATTACAATGCACCAATTTTGACGTGTGATCTATTTTTCACCTCACGAATTGATTTCGCGTCAGATTATTTGACAACAATAACATACGAGTTGGCTTTAGTCAAGAGTAATGATATGGGAATTGGGTCCAGCCTGATGACAACTGGATAGCCCCTACACTCCTTTTTTCTTCGTTTGTTTGTTGCTTCTGTAACCTATGCTGAGCATGAGGCGTCTGAATTGGACCAGATCTATTACTCAGTCGGATGATAAATGTGCCTCACTGGTAGCCGTGAACTCTTACTTATCCTGATAAGCTAAGCACAGAGTTGGACACATGAACTCTGAAGTCGGAATACACTTTTCAAGCCTGAAATCGTTGTCTAGCGTTTTCTTCAAACACAGGTGATGCTTCGACTATACACCGCAACTGTGGGTCACCCGTCTGTGGTTCGTTTCTCATACAACTAACACATGGTAAGGATAAGGTTACTATGCTTTCTACTCGGACGGATAATAAGTTGACTTCAGAAACTTCTGTTCTCATGGTACGTTAGTGGGTCCGAGTGTGATGCCTGTTCGTAGTTCAGGTGCATTGCTAATGGGACTAATGTCCCAGTGATCTCCATTCATCGTCCTTTAATTCTTTGTTAGAACATGCGTGACGATTGTCAGTTTCTAGTTTTATAATGCTTCTATTTTCCATGTTATGGACTGTCCCCATCCTTCAGCAGCGACGGTTCGCTTCAGTACTGACAGTTTACATTCGATCTCCCCATTTCTGGGGACTGTCGAACTGCTTTCCGGTTACTCATCTCAAACCCCGTTTCTATGGGTCTAGATGTGATAGATCAATACATCTCTATTCATTCAAGACATTTTAAGTTCGATGTTTTGAATAAACCGAATAGTAGTCGGCGGTCTCAACTGGGAATCACTTACTGCGATTTCGGAAACTCTTGAATAAGCGTCCCTACCAGGGGTGACAGCCAATAGAAATTCCCTGTTCGAATAGTACCAACGTCATATAGATCCGCTCACTGCTATCCAGACGTATCACAACGTATGGGTACCTTTTTATCGCGGCTGGTGTCAGTTATTCTCGTGCTTAGTCGCATGACTAGTCAGTGACAACGGATGCTTCATTTCGGCGTTTGATGCATCCGTTCCAGGGCTAGAATTCAACTGACACACATTGACTTTTCGTTGTAGTCCATAAACCCGGCATTCTGACTGCATGTTCAAGTTTGATCAGAATTCAGGTTAACTATCCAGGAATCAACAATCCATTACTTTCCTCGGACATTCAAGCAAGACCAAACGGTTGTATTATTATGATTTTATTTCTTTACTAATGCAAGCATCATCATTTAAGTTCAATATTCCACGCACGAAACGGTCAGTCTCTCAGTGATGTTGAAACTTCCACTTCGCGGACTCTGCATTAGCCACCGTGTCTGCGTTTTTAACTTACCCAACTACGAATCCCTCGTTATCTAGTCAGAACTCTATCAGTTGTTAGACAAGGATTTAGACTTATTCTTTCATTCTTCCCAATCAACTTCTGTCATTCACAGCTTGTCAATTTATTTGTGGATTCTTCGCAGTTCCGACTTTGGCTTTCTCTAGGCAGGCAGCAGCAACAAGTTGCTCTCACAGTTAACTGAAAATGACTTAACAAAGACTTGCTAGGGCTAGACAGTGTCAAAATGCTAGCATTGAATTCAAGGTCTGGGCGGATTTTTTCTAAACTTTTGGCAAGAAGAAAGTGCAAGCGTTGCGCATCCTAATTAGGTCCTTCCCCATATCTAATAAGGAATAGTCATGCTTCATCTACGGAGTCATGTAAAGCGTGCCTTTGGGTCCTGGTTTATAGTTCGACTTTTTCGCTGGAAAAAGACGCACCAGTTCAACCTTGATATTGATAGCTTATTTCATACCCCACGTAAACTTGATGGATTTGAGTCAAGGTGAAGTGAAGTGATAACATTTCGTTGGATATCGTTTTACTACAACTCGCTTTTCTCTTCCGTGACTATTTTCTGAGCGTTGTACGTAATCATTTCGTTCGTCCGTTACCTAGAATTGAGCACTTGGAAGCCCTCGTTTCACTAAGACCCACAGCCTTTTTGGGAATGGTGAGATGATAGACTACAAGTTAAGCAACAAGGGACGAGGTTGCTTGTGAAGTCTTGCGGCTCACCGAGTCCAGTGTGCAATCGCGCGCAGCTGCATTGGACTCACACATTAGCGACGCACTCGTTTCGGGATGTCACGCGATGATTATCTGGATGCATTTTCTCTTTCTTTGTGTGTATCTAATCCGTTGCCTTTCTTTGCTCTTATTAGTTTACAGGCAAATCACACGTGTTGCGAGCATTCTCTGGCGACACCACCAAGATTACTGGATCCATTTGGGGTCCATTAAACAAGACCATTATCTTTGGGCATGAGTCCGGAGCACTTACCGTTCTCGATACTCGTTTGAATCAGATAACCAACCAGATCAAACCACATAAAGGACCGATCACCGATATCCAGATGCATCTACACATTCCAATGTTCATCACGGCATCCAAAGATCACACGGCTAAAGTATGCACACCTATACGGTTGACTCCGTATGTTTGGAATGATATCATCTTTGTGCAATGTTTGTGTTTCCCATATTCACTAATTACTGATGCTTTTAATGACTGATTTTATGTTCTGTTGCCTGAAGCAAGTAGACTTGGCTGTGCACCCCCATCCAGCCGAGAACTAAACTCACACCGACAATGACGGTTATCAAAGTTCAGCTTATATTCTGACAAAATGAATCCAACGAAGCTTTTGCTTCTCCGCCTCCACCTCTCCATACCTCTATTCTGACTCTGGACACATGTTACTTTCCTTGGGATGCATGCCATGCACCACTGTCGACCACAAAATTTGCCGTAACATCTCATAACTTCCTAACATCGCTCAATTCTCGGCCGTCTTCCGGATGCAATCGAGTTTCTATATATTTTCTCGAAATAAATATCACGCACTCATAATCGAATATACCCTAAAAAGTGTCACACACCAATCACACCTACTCAACAAGTAATGTGGCTCTCTCACAACTGCAACACACTTTATATCTGACGCCAGTTTCCGTTGGACAGCAGTTCAGTTACTGGCCTGCAGCTTTTCGTGTCACAAATGTCTGCTTTGTTCAGTTATGAACTCTTCCCAGCGTTCCATCCATTACCAGACTTCCAATGGCTCAACTTGTGGTGCGCGAGCTTGAGTTCCGCGGACCGGAACACCGAGGTATCAGTATGCTTTGCGCAGCTTATATTTATCTCTCCAAGCTAGTGGTAATACGTCACGCCAATTCATTCGTCCTGTTTTTATCTCACCATTTTATGTCCTTGTGCGCATAATGTATCGCTCGGATGTTCACACATCTCCACACTCTTTTTGGACCTTTCATTTGCATACGGTTCACGTTTCTCTCTTCTCCAGTTGTTCAGTGCCTACGATTTGAGCTCAATTCGCACCTACACAACCGAGCGTCCGATAAACTCTGCGGCCATTTCACCCACAAGGGACCATGTGAGTTTTCCTTGCCTCTAAAGCTAACGACTCTCCATTCTTACATATCACAGGTTCCAGAGAGCAGCACAGAATCTGAAGTCTGGTTTATATCCCAGTGCACCAAATCCGGGTGCCTCGCTACACCAACTAATTGTGTCGGATGTTGCCACGACGTATATTTATATGGTGGCACCACCGTATACTTTTTTATCGCATTGGGAACTTGTTTATATGACGACTTCAGAAGTAGCCGTTTCTTCTTTTCTATCTAGCAAACCAGTGCGTCCCTTTCGGACCGCATGGTAGAGCCCATCGATTTTGGGCCATCTTTTCATGGTTACTCAACCGTCCCACCCAATCAGTTGGCCGTTAACGGCGGCAATGTTGACGACTTGATCATTGATGTGCTGACCTTATAAATGGGTTTTCCCACTTTTTAATGCTAACTCGATGATTGCTTGTTTTTCGCGTTCACTTCGTCGTCGAGTTACTTTACTTTTGACAGTCACGACCGGTCGCTTCAACGGATGCTGCTGCTGAAGGATACTGGTGAGCATTGGGCACTCACCAGCTATTCCTAAGCCCTATGTCTTTTACTGATTCATCCCAGCAGCTTACAGACCAGCTAGTGTAGTTGGAAGAAGCACGAAACAGGCGTTTCGCCCTATTGGGGTTCGTCGTTGGTGCGCCTTCCCTCGGTCCCCTGCTGTGGATCAAACCCATGACCGCCAGTGGCTTGCACCACTAGCTGGCACCTGCCACTGAGCCATGCGGGACGGAGGCAGATCGTCTGAAATTGCAAGCTAACTAAGATATAGCGCAGCCTATCATTCACCGCCATGCAGGTTCGTACCATCGCAGGGGACGGTCGCTAGTCTCCAAGGTCATGACTTCAACCACGCCGCAGCCATGTCCGTATACTGTGCGGGCAAATCTGATTACGTATGAGTAGGATGATTATGAAATTTTGCTAGTTCATTCCTGCTGCTCACAAGCCATCTTAGTCTAACCCCAATCTAGAAAAGCACCAAACATCTTTTCGCCCTATTGGGACTTGTCAGTGGCTAGCAGCCATGGTTTCGATCCTCAGCAAGTGGCCGAGGGAACGCGCACCATTGACGAGCTTCAATAGGGCAAAACAATCGACTGGTGCTTTTCCGGATCGGAGTCAGTCTGATTTGGCTTGTGTGCAGCTGTGGTGAACAAATAAAGTTCAGTTAATTTTCGTTCGTAAGGGGTTGAATAATATCGTAGAATCATCCGAGCGGATACCTAGTGTTTAACCCACCTGCGTTCACATCTACACGCTAGTTATTTCGAACGAGGGTCGCCTTTAACATTGATCTACATAGGTTCCCGCAGTGGCTCTACCATATAGCCAACCTACGTGATGGAGCTACCAATTGTCTGGATGATTTGCTTTCGAGGAACTAGTCGGCTAATAGGAGAAATGCAACCTACTCTGTCGACATCACACTGTAGGCATTCGTTCCGTGGACCGTCTGGTGGTGCTGGACGGACCTGCAAGTTACTGGCTGTTGTGTTGTGCTTACTCAACAACAATTTCCTTACACAGGGAACACATCGTTATCTGTGAGCACACGATGTGAGTAAACCAAGTTTCTGGAATAGGATGTTTGACTATCTGCTAACTGACCTAGAACCAGTGAATGCACTAACTGCTTACCACATCCAGACAAAATACCAATAAGGACCGAAAATCAGCGGGTACCAGAGGCGGAGTGAAGACCCGGTAAAGTAGTCGTCTTCTATATCGCCTTCGTACACAGGCAAGAACTTTGATCCAGAAAATTGTTTTTTGTGTTGTTAGGAATGTACTAAATTTCCTAACATAGTGAACGAACGATTCTGATGTTTGTCAATTATACAAATCAATGTATGTGTACATTTATACACAAAATTTTAATACAAACTTTTATGCGTGTAAACTTATGTACATATTGGATACGAAGGGGAGAATGATCTCTTTGACCCAGGTTACAACATGCCCATGAGCGGTGGTTGATTTTCCATCCGTTTAGCATTATTCGAAGAGAAAGGAGTGGAACAACCAGACATCAGTTGAACAGTAAAGATTCGCCTGATGGATTGTCCTCTATCTTAAGGTTTCCCTAAGTAACATCTCATATAAGTTTTACTGGTAAAGAAATGTATTAAACGCTGGTCTGGCTATGTGAAAAATGCGGGACAAACAAAACGAAAGATTACTAATGAGTAAAAGGGTTTCTAATGATAGTTTACTAATTCATCCCAGCCGCTGACCCTACTGGTTAGTAATCGAAAATTCACCCTCACAGTCTTCAAATGTATATAATGCTGCTGCGTAGTGGGACTTGTGATCTCTGCAGATCATCTACTGTCCTGCGCAATGGTCGTAAATTACACAACAGTGGGGGACAGGTTGAGCTATATCCCAGTTAGCAACAAGCTATGGGGTCTGCTACCGTCCCGCATAGCTCAGTCGCATAAGCTGCTAGCTAGTTGGTGAACGCTGTTCGCGGGCAATATCTTCCTGAACTTATCCATCAATTGTTTTACAGCTTTATAAGCATTCGGTGCTTCTCCGTCGTAGCCAGTACACGTGATAGCCCCATTCTTGAGTGATATATCCCCTACTACTCTTCTGTGAATCCGCTTACTTCTCATACTTGCTCATCCAGTATTGACAAGTGATTGTCTTCTGTATGCGGACGACAAATGGCGCTTTTAGCGCTGAATGTTTCGATGCACGCTAGACGTTGACCCTGATATAAGAATTTTGGTATTGAACAGTATCTCACGGCGACCGACAGCCACGAGCATCGTCATATATCTAAGGTATGCGGTGTAGCTTGACAATTCATCCGGTTAGCCCATTTCTCCGCACAGTGTTTTGCAACATGAAGGAAGAGCTTATACACCTTGAGAGTTTGCCTGATGAGTGTGCAACGAGCGCGCATCGCAGCGTTATCATTCATGATTGTGCGCATTATCTAGATGTGGATGTTGTAACGCTGCCCTCCCCTCCGCTCTCTGCACTGTAAACCCAGCCGGGGACAAAACAAAACACCGAAACCTGCTAGACCGAAGTGTATTAGGCACAGAACATAGTTCATTTTACAGGTCACATTCTATCATCTCCGTTTGTACGTTTTTAGCTGACTCACGTCGCTTGCCTGGTGAGCTTCCATATCTGCTGGCGTCCTGCACTTGCCAGCTGTAGTCACGCTCACTTACGCCTGTCACAGCAACCTGTGTTATGCTGACGGGCTGATTTCATTAGCTTCCGGCGTGACTCCCTCGTGCTACCGCCGGTCAGGTAGCAACCCGTGTCATGATAACAGACGTCTCAAAACGTATCACGTTATTAGACTGCGGCCTCCGATTAGGGCACAACACCGAAGTTATTGTGCCTCAGTACAAACCAATTAGATGACTATAGAAAATATTAAAAAGAAAAGACAACAAAATTAAAAAACTTATATATTTGCAACCGCCTACTAATAGGCATGGAGCCATCAAAAGCCATTTAACTCAGGAAGGTACAGATATCGTTAAAAAAACACAACACTACGGATGAGTCCATGCTTTCGTTAGAGTGCGAGGTACTACCTGGTTGCCCAAGCCGAAGTACGGTGTTGACTTAGGGGACACCACCCCGAACTTTTGACCGGATGGCCTGCCCGCAAGGCAGCGGAGCGAATTCAGGGAATCGCGCATATTGGGAGCCGGTGACTGATTGTCCAGTTCATACACCTTTCGTTTGTACGTTTGTCAAACAAGAGCCCAACGCTCCCCACAATTTCTGCATTATGTTGCTGGAATACAATGCTTCGCTAATATTACACAAGGGGCAGTGACTTTATTTAATGGCGAGTCACGTCCGCCACGTCACAGTGTTGTTAGACGGACATATGTGACTTTTTATAGGGAGATCGCTTGCCAAGCGAAAACCCACCACGTCCCGGAACATTGCCACCGAACGATTTGCTGGAAAGGCATAATCCCGAACCACCCAGCTGGCCCCACACGGAGGTTGTTCGGCAAGCCAGCCAAGTAAAAGGTCGAAAATTATCTTCATCGGCACTAAGATCGCGGTTGGAGGGGAAGGCTAAGCGGGAAAGGAGTGGGGGAGAAAGAAACTTACACTACAAACGTCACTGCGGTCAGTTCTTCACCATGTCAGCAAGTCCATCCAGCCAACTATGGGCATCGCGATTGACTTGAGTTTTGCTGTGTGCGGTGTGTTTAAGGGAGCTTAAGTGAGTGTGGAATCTGCATACGCTATGACATCTCATGATCTGTCATAGGTTCATTGGGCTGTTACCAAGGGAACCACTACTACACCAGCAGTAACGTGGGTCATTCGTGTCTTAGTTTGCTTTCCTGATGAGTTGGTTCGGCTAATTCTGCTGTTCTTACTTAGCCTTTTGCGTTGTTACTAGGGTGCAGTTTCTCTAGACACTATGATCCTGAACCCATTATCCATGCGTAATGAGAGCAATCGCTGTCTGACGATGGACTGTCACATCCACATCTTCCTTTCCTATCCACCTTGTATTTGTTAACCTCCATACCACATTCCGCTTGTCAGGTGTTACTGGGAGGCGGCCAAGAGGCGCACGAAGTCACCACAACGGCGGTCGGTCAGGGAAAGTTCGATGCTCGTTTACATCATCTGATTTATCAGGACGAATTTGGGCGAGTCAAGGGCCACTTCGGTCCGATCAACAGCGTGTCTTTCAACTCCGACGGAAGTGGGTAGGTTTCCGAGTTTACTTTCCGGAACAAAATCCTTCGAGTGCTTATCTTTTACCTACCGAACCCTTGCGCCATGATTCATTTATGGGCTACAAGGAATTTGCAAAGTCCACGTGTTGTTTTTGCTTCCTGGGACACCACGGATGCATTATACTTTGTATATTTGTTTTTTTGAAGGGACTTATCGCAACCAGACTCAGTGAGACAGCCGTTCTACTTTCCGAATTCTATCACAGCGACCACTTTATGTTGTATGAGCACGCCAGTCTGTGATTTCTCCTATCGGTTGTTTTCTGTTTCACAATCACCGTTTCCCTCTTGTAGGTTTGCCACTGGAGGCGAGGAAGGCTACGTCCGATTGCACACGTTTGACCCGGACTATGCTGATCTTGACTGAATTATCCTTCTTTGTGACCGTTTTTCTCAACGGATTTGTGAATAAAAACAACTTCATTAAAAGCAATCTATCTTCATGATGTCTTTATATTGAGGGAATGGGCTGCTCTAGGTCACTGTCAGTCTGAGCTTATACCATTTCCGGCTATCTTCGTTCCCCATTATCGTCTCTTTTTCGAGTGTTTTGGCCATTTTAGCGTGTAACCCCTTCGCTTTTATGATTCATTTTGTAGGTTGTCCAACTCAATTCTCTTTGCTGGCACTTATACATCCATTTCCAGTGATTTATAGACTCAGGCTGGTGGCCGAAAGAATTACGCGCTTGCCATGTAATCTGGATGTCATCGGTTCGAATCCGTGTAGGTGCGGGCGACCTCGCGGTATAGCTGACTCTCGCGCGACTGCTAGTGGTCGCGTGGCAGCGAAGCATTGGTACGCTTTGCCACCGTACTGCTATTGCCTTCTGTCCTATCGCATTATTTGGCACTAAGGGAAGGCATCAGTAGTATGCCGGTACGTAGTACCGACGTTTTGCTGCTGCACAATCACCACCAGTCGCACGTGGGCCAAGGATAATGCGAAAGTCGCCCTGTCCCTACGCAGGCTCGAACCCGCGCCCTTGGATTACAAGACAGGTTTGTGATCCTTAAGGCTACGGGTCCAGATACGTTCGAATAGGCAGGTCTGCAGGGCACTGACCTCCCTATTCGAACGTATCTGGAACGAAGAGAGTGTGCCAGCTAATTGGAGCGAATCGATTATAGTGGCAATATACAAGAAGAGCAGTCGCACAGACTGTTCGAACCACAGAGGTATTAGCCTAACGCCAGTTGTGACAAAATTACTGGCCTCGATTTTCGTTCGTCGCCTCACTGCAGAACGGGAATCTCGGATTAGGGAAAAGCAGGCCGGTTTTCGCCCAGGACGTGGCTGTATAGACCATATATTTACTTTGCGGCAGGTGCTAGAGCAGCGCCACGCATACCGCAGACCGACAATAGTTGTGTTCCTCGACTTCAAGAGTGCGTTCGATTCAGTTGATCGATCGATTCTGTTCGAATTACTTGCGCGAAAAGGTGTTCCCACGAAATATGTGAACATCCTTCGTGCTCTATACTCGAACACTAGAGGCCGCGTCAGGGTCTATGGTGCCCTATCGGATAGCTTTTCGACTACAAGTGGCGTTCGTCAAGGTTGTCCGATTTCCCCGTTTTTGTTCAATTTCGTCGTGGATTCTATCATGGAGTGTTCCCTCGCGGAATCTCATGATGTAGGCGTTGAAGTGCTGCCTGGTGAAAGGTTAGTTGACCTAGATTATGCGGACGATATCGTCTTGCTTTTCGACAATGTTGAGGCGGCACAGTCAACCCTGAATAGCCTATCCAGAGTGGTTCCATTATTTGGTATGCACTTCGCACCTTCAAAGTGCAAAGTGTTGCTGCAGGACCACCAGCCACTTGATGACCCCTTGACGCTTGCTAACGAGGAACTCGAGGTGGTTGATCAATTCACTTATCTTGGCAGCTGCATCAGCAATGATGGGCGCATAGAAACTGACGTGAGCTCACGCATTGCAAAGGCTAGAGCTGCCTTCTTGAACCTGCGTCATCTTTGGCGACAGAAGGGAGTTTCCCTCCGCCTGAAAGGCCGTGTATACAAGGCTACAGTGAGGGCCGTTCTGCTGTACGGTAGTGAAACTTGACCCCTTCGGTCTGAAGATCTGAGGCGCCTTCAAGTCTTTGATCATCGTTGTTTGCGAAGCATTGCTGGTGTCGGATGGCACCAGCGTGCCCGCAACGATGATGTGCGTAGGCGAGTACTAGGTGGTGATAATCATGCTAGCTCCCTAGAACAACAGATAGCACTGAATAAGTTACGTTGGCTCGGGCACGTGCTACGCATGCCTGGTCACCGCTTACCTAGGAGGGCCTTGTTCAGTCTACCAGGTGTCGGATGGCGCAAGGCTCGAGGTGGACAGAAGTTGACTTGGCAGCGGGAAATGAAGTCACTGACAACTAAACTGGGTGCCGTTGGTCCGTCTCGCCTTCCGGGCTGGAGTCCACGTGACTCACCTTGTGCTTGGCTTGAGACTTTACAGGACATAGCTCGCAGTAGACACCAGTGGCGCGTCTGCTGCCGTCTCCTAATCGGATTGTCTGTTTAAAGTGTGTTTGGTGCTGAGTTATCTGTGGGTGAATGGCTGATTATGACGCGGGGCAGTGAAAGCCGCAAGGAAGCTGTCTCGCCGATGCCGCCTTATCTTTGCACGATAGCCAGCTGTTTGTGACGGAATGTTGTTAACACAAAGTGTAGGCGCCTTGACCCTGAATGTTTGCTTAGGGCATTAAGGTTTTCAGGTAAGTCCCCCCTTCTCTCCCTCTTCTTATTCTTTATTTCATAGGTCCTCATGATTGTATGGCAGCGAAGCATCAGTTCAAATGGCTGATGTACTGCTGTTGATGCTGAAGGCTACGGGTCGACATTTTGCACCAAGGCTGGCTTTGTTGCATCACCAGCACCTTCGTTTTTTATTGAGGGCAGTGGGTTCATCGTCGGCTAACATGGAGACTTGCGGACAGACGTACTGTATCATGGGTAGCACGGAATCAGCGGCAACGGGCACTTTTAGTGAAAGCTATTATCGGGTGTCAACACTTATCACGGCAACTCGGGGGCACGATATTGGTCTCTTAACGATGCACCACAAAATCACAATACTTTTATGTCTACTCTTGGTCGATTGGGATAGGTACAGCACGCCAAGGAGCCTACTCGGTTTGGTAACACATGATCCAATATTTACTATGCGATGTTCACATGTGTCCACATACATAAGTGACAGATTGCCGGGTAGTGTTCACAACATCGTTGATTTTTCTTTCCAGAGTCTTTCTAAACGGATACAATCCGTGATCAAATACCGTCGATTCTTTTCTGCGAATTGGTCAATTTTCGGATCTTATAAAGTCTTCAGATTGAGATCTATTTTTATTAGCATGGAATGTACAAATTGTTTCTGATGAGTTCTACTACCGTATTCAGCTTTGTGTTGAAGTAGTGGCTCCAGAACATACTAAGAAGTTGCAAAGAACTGCTACACCTGCAGGCCTCTCGAAAAAGATAGCCACCAAACTCCCTAAAATAAAGAAAAAGTTTAGGAGAACAACTGCTTTTACTCTGTTGATGCTTCACACCAGATTACTAACAGCGTTATACCAAGATCACCACAAAATGTTATGCTTTGAAAAGGTGATGGTACTGAAGAGCGCCAACGTGGTAGGCTGCATCTGAAAACTTGGACCGTAGGCAGAATAGAAAATCAAGTTGCATTAAGTCGATTATAAAGTAATAGAACTACCATAACCGATCGCGCGATTATATGTTCGATTTCAACGACTACGTTATGTCTACTTATAGCACTAATGCGGAAGAGGATCCTCAACTAAAGCTGTTACACAAAGACAGTAATACGCTCCAAACTGTTGAATTCACAATTAGTGACACATGTCGCCAAATCAGATTAGTTCGGCCATCATTCTCATCAGGCCCTGACAATATCCCGCCAATTCTAGTCAAGCACGGAGGTCCAGACCTGTTTTTACTTAATGTATTTACACTTTCCGTGCTCAATGGGGCGTATCCTATGCACTGGAAACAATCAACCATAATACCACGACGCCAAAGCGGATCTGTTCAAGATGTAAAAATTTACCGCCCAATCCACCACACATCTATTATCTCCAGAATCATAGAGGTTAGTTAAGATCGCATAATCGAATATTTGAGTTCTATAAGCCTTCCCAGTAAACGTCAGCAGGGTTTTTTGAAAGGCAGGTCATGCGCTACCTGTCAGTTAGGTTATCTCGATTATTTGACTAGAGCAACTGATGCCGGAAGTGCCATCGTTGTAATATTTCTTGATATCCAAAAGGCTTTCGACCGTGTCCCACACAACTTATTGTTGCGGAAGCTTATGTCCTATGGTATCACACATTCGCTTCTAGATTGGTTGTCTTCCTACCTCGAGGGTAGAAAGCAAGTAGTCAAAATCGGTATCTATACATCTGAAGCCACTACAATCTCTAGTGGAGTGATTCAAGGTAGCGTGCTAGGCCCGCTTTTATTCTTAATCTATTTCAACGATCTTGATGAAATCTCGTACGGGAAGCCATTCCTGTTCGCTGATAATGTTAAAATTGTGTATTATTCCGCCCCGGGGCAATGTAGTCCTAACTTAGCCTGTATTCAGTCTGACTTGTCCGCATTTGAGCACTGGAGTAACTTCTGGAAGTTGCACTTTACCACTGACAAGTGTAATCTATTGTACCACGGCTATGGCCCTTCTCCGAACATCTTAACCTTAAACGACACTCCTGTCCCTGTGTGTGGCACAGTCCGAGACCCTGGTCCAAGATATTCTTCCTCAGTTAATTTTTTAGAGCGTTATATTCTTGCAAGCTTCTGCCAGAAAAGTGATCGCCTACATAAGTCGAACTCTTATCTTGAGGGATTCCAGGCTTCAAGCCTTTAAAATATGTGTTAGGCCGAAGCTTGAGTACTGTACGATAGTGCACGGTAATCTGAGAAAAGTGGACATAATAGCACTAGAAAACATTCAACGATCACTCACAAGGAGTTTTTTGAACATGCCTATTACTATGTCATACCGTGAGCGTTGTGACGCTCTAAAACTGGAGCCGCTATGGCTGCGCAGACTCAAACTTAATCTGTGCCTTCTACAATGCTTCCTATTCGGATTAAGCTTCACTGCTCAGCCACAACTCGAGTTTCAGACTCGTATGCGCTATGAACTAAGAAACAGCGAGCGCACAGTAAAAATACCAAAGTCTCATACAAAGCTCCGTTCAAATTTTTTCTGCGTAAAATATGCATTAATATGGAACAAACTTCCATCGAGTGTTAGAAACTGCACTACCTATCCACAATTCAGACGCATGATTAATATTCACCTGACTGTTGCAACTATCTGGTCAACACTAAGCCAAAAGGGGACTCTAGATGATTTGTATGAGAGAGGTCCTGGATGCACTTGAAAGTCGCCATATC